AGGGGCTGGATGGGACATAAGGGTGCTACAATGCAGGGGCTGCCTGCCACCTAGCTCTACACTGTAGCACCCTCATGCCCTAGCCAGCCACTCTGCTACCTGCCACCACTATCTGGAGCCCAGAGCTGACCCTCCAGACCCTCTGCCAGCTTGGGGCAGCTCTACTGTGGCTCAGATTGCTGCGGACCTGGCTGCACGTGTAAATTCTGCGCCCAGGAGCAGCTGACACCAGGGCAAATTGCACAAGAGTTTATTGCATCACAATAATAGCATGTGTAGTTGCACCTCATATGTCAAAATTATTGAACATTTGAAGATCTAAGGAAGTGAAAGACCAGAGGCCAGATGGATGAAGATCAAGACATACTCATTTTGATACCACTGTGAGCAGGAGGACAGTGAGCTGTGTGCAAGGCTTATGTAAGTAAGGTCATTCGTTTGTTCCTAGCAGAACGGAGGTGGCACCTAACTCAATTCTGAACATTACCTTGGCTAATTTAGAAACTCCTTCCCTTGTACAGACAGCGACATGCTTTTCACACACTCTGCATTGCAAATGAAGGCCCACAGCCTCAGTCACCGGCATCCTGGCTGTGGTCCAGCTTAGTGTTTTTATTCTAGGGAGTCTTATTCTTCTCCTGATGGCCACACCTGCTCTTGTTCAATTAGATTCCTAGTAATGCTAGAAAAAGAAAGAATAGTCTACACAGGAAGGGTGTCAAATTTGCCCTACCCCTCCGGCTGCATCTGGAACATTTTGCTCCTCACAGGCCAGATGCAGATGTGGTGGCAGCAGCAGGGCAAGTGGCAGTCGGACTCCACGCCAGGGATTTCAGTGTTGAGCCCTTTCCTCTCTCTCCCTGCCTCTGAGTTCCTGGCCCCTTTACAAACCCCATGGATCAGACATTTAACACCCCTCATCTACAGTTTTCCTTAAACTGTTTCTTCCTTCCTTGATTCAGATGAATTTCTATCTTGAAACCCTTCCTTTCTCCTATGGCCTTTTTATGGTTTTTTTTTGCTCATATGTCTGCTTACTTTATTCCTTTTCAGTAATACATAAGGTATGTTGGATCCTGAAACAACCTTTTCTTTTAAAAATGGATCTTTGCTGTTTGTAGTCTGTAATTGTTACTGTCATGTTATCAATCACTATCAAGCACTGCTTTGCCTTCTTATTTAGATGACACATACTATTGTGAATTATTTAGGTAGTTGTCAAATAGGATGCACAAGCAGCTATGCACCCAGGTATAATTAGAACATAATTTAAGAAAATAAAACAAAAAAAAATCATCTTTTATTGTCATAAGGCAGTATGTTATCTGAAAGAACCGATGCTTCATTAATTTTTCACAAAATCTCCCAGTCACCGCTTTCAGCACTTAGTTAAAAATTAGATTTTGGTGAAGATCAGAAAAATAAGAAATAAATGCTAACTCTCCTGAGTAACATCAGATGTTACAGTGCAATAGGATTGCCAGGCACTAACTGTGATGCGATGCTACTGCACAGTAGTAATGAGCTACTGCACCGTAGCTTGTTGCTGCTGCTCAGTAGCGTTGAGGAAAAAAATGTTCGGCGACGGTACTGCACAGTAACACGGGTTACCGCACAGTCATTTAATATTTGCATAAGCATGTAACAACTGTGCAGTTTGCCGCAAGTATAGACATGGCCACAGAAGATAAAGTATGGATGTAATGCTGAGCAAATGCAGAATTTATGATATTGGGAGAGAACAAAATGATAATATCCATAGAGTTCGTCTGCTTCTGTAATAGCTCAGGGTTGTTTCTGTGATCATCCAGACTATGCAACTTGAATCTTATAAATTACAGGTCTCTATTTTATAAAGTATAAATTGGCAGAAAAGAGCACCTATGCCATAGGTAGTATTATAGTGATGTTGTGTCTGTGTTTGTGTCCAAGAAATATGTGTGAGGCAAGGATTTTTGTGGGTGATACCTTTTATTGTCTAAGTCTATCCCAGCCATGCAGTTGGTCCAATAAAATATATCACCCACAAAAATCCTTGCCTCCAGCAGCTAGGTAGCAATCAATAGTCCACTGAAGCTCTCTTTTCCCCATGGAATGAATTCAGAATATAACTGGGCATGTATAAGTTAAAAATATGTTTTCTTAAGAATTTCTAAGCAATGACCCATATGTCCATAATTACCTGAAGGCTTCACTCATTCTCAATTATGGTTTCCTTAACTTAATGGCATCAGTATGGAAAGTTACAGCCTGTATTAGAAGAATGGCCAAGGGCAATAGTGGGACTGATAATGTAGACAAAGCTTCATGTTAAACCCTTGTACAACACGTCTGCATGGTACCATCAGTAGAACTTCAGCCTTCTCTACACTCGCTGCATAGGGCAGAAGAACCAGTAGAAGAAATGATGGGATTTTTTTAAAAAGATGCCTTCACTTAAACAAAGCTATATTTTTCTGTAATAATTCAGGCCTCAGTTCAACAAAGCACTGAAGTATTTAAGCATTTTTCATTCACTTCACTGGGACTTATGAATATATGTAAGTGCTTCACTGATTTGAGGCTCAGATATGGATCATAGTTTTCCACTTACACACAGTGAAAAATTTTCTAGGAATTTCTCTCACCTAAGTTTTCCAGTAAGCTTAACTGCTCTAGCAATTGTGTAAAAGATTTCCCATTTAAAAAAAATCAGACAAAAAAAAAGCAAAAGTAAAATCATGTGTTGTCCAGTAAATTTCTTTTAGAAATTTGATACAGAAGGAAGAAGTAGGTAGGCTTAAACTCTTTTTTCAAAGAGGTAGGTCTTTCTTGAGGAGCTGATTAATTGATAGCAATGGGGAACCTGAACCTTTCCTCCATATATTTTTTTTTAATTAATCAAAGCATTGGATACATAGGAATGGTTGGAGCATAACTCATCATGTGTGAGAGTCACTGATGGCTAAGACCACGCTATGGATGTTTCTAATGCATGGGAGGCCTTGTACATGAGAAGGAAGCATTTGTGGAATGGGTTACCCTCCATGATGGCACTGATCCAAAAGAAAATAAAAACTCTGACAACTCTGTCATATTCTTTAAGAATAATGTATTCTTAAACCAGGGAAAATACATAATGAGATAAGGAGCATTTAATTTAACAGCTAAGTAGCGCTTCTGAATAGGGATAAGACAAATGCTGCAAGAAGAGAGCATAGCTCAGATCACCCCTCTATCACTTACACATGTATTGCTTTGAAGTCCTCACGTTTTACTGGGGAACTTTGTAGCTGCTCTAGTAATTGCACTAGATAATTATCAGACTGATGCGTATTAAGAGAGCATTACTAAAGAAGCTTTTAAATAAAATGTGTCAAACAAGCTATTAATGAGGGATTTGCTAGATAACCAATAGGCCTGTGCAAGTTGGGAAGTATGCAATTTGGATTTGGATTCAGCCGATTCAGAAGACAGTGATTCGATTTGGAGATTCAGATCATTGTCCTGAATCAATTCGGCTGAATCAGCTTCAGAAGATTCGGTGCTGATTAGGAGAGATTCGGTGATTCAGATTGCCTGTGGAGAGGCAGGCACAGCTGGGCAGCTGCAGGTTCTCCCATGGCTCCTCCAGCTGTGCTTGCCTCTCTCAAGGTTGGGGGAGCCATGGGAGAAGCGTCCATGGCTACCCTGCCCGGCCCCATCCCCTGCCCAGCCCCAGCCTCCCAGCACTTAAAAAAATAAAATAAAAGCCCTGCACTCTCTGGCTACAGCAGCAGGGATTGGGGCCTCTGGGTACTCATGGCAGAGCTCCCTCATGCAGTGGCGGGCAGTGGGGGGCAGCATGGATTGCCCCCCACACCTGGCACCTGTGCGGCAGATGACCCATGGCATGGTTGCAGTGCTGCTTGGCAGGACACTGTGCGCTGCCTTGGAGCTGGGGCTGCTGGGGATGAGCACTGCCAGGCTGCAGCTGCCAGGTGGAGCCACCCCAGGTCCCAGACAGTGTGCGGCGCCCTGATGAGCCGTGTTGCACCCCCGCAATGTGACAGCTGCTGCGTGCATGCCAGGCAGGGGGGGCAATCCCCGCTGCCCCGTTCTGCATGGGGGGACTCTGTCACAAGCTCTAAGAGGTCCTGATCCCTTCCCTCTTCTGGCTGGAGTGAGCCATGCTCACATCCCCCGCCCACCCGACCCCAGCTGGACAAATGGCAACAGGGCAGAGCCCCTGCTCCCAGTGCTGCCGCGCCCGCATCCGGTGCCCTGCCCGCCCCCCCAAGGAAAGCAACCCCCTGCCCCAGCTGGGCAGCTTGTCCCAACCCCAATCCCTCCCTCCCCCATGTCCTTCCCCTCCCTGCTCTCCCAACCCCAACAGACTTACCAGCTGGAGGCAGCTGGCAGCTGCCTGTTTAGTCTATGGCCGAATCTCTGAAGTGGCCAAATCTTTTCTAAAGCTTTTCCAAATCGATTCAGATGCTTCAAATTGATTCAGAGCTTTTAATTGTCTCCCAATTCGATTCAGATTCAGAGATTCAGTCCCTGAATTGGGCCAAGTCTCCTCCGAATCGAATCAGCTATGGAAGCTTCACACAGCCCTAATAACAAAGTAGCAGAATTTTATGCTAATGTCTTCACTGCTGTATGCCAATTTAGACTGGTATATGGGAGAAGAGGGAATCAGGGGCCCATAATATCCTAAATTTCACTAGTCATACTTTTACCATTTCTTTCATCTCTGATGGCGCAAACATGAAAATGCCATGTCACACAAACATCGGTGGGTTGTAAGAGAAGCATTTAGCATCCCAATGCTGGCAGAAAACACATGAAAGAACCATTATTTTTTGTGACTGAACAAGTGCAAACCTGCTGTAGCACTTGAGCTGTAGTGATGTCCCAGAGTAATCAGTGACATTCCCAGGTGTAAACGAGCTCATCTTTTTTAGAGTAAAATGCTAGGGAATATGATAAATGGACCAGAAAATAAAAATAACTGTGTCTTATGTATGCTTCATTTTCAGCTGGGACGGACACTCCGAAGTCCTTTCATGAAATTTGTGGCACATGCAGTTTCTTTCACAATCTTCCTTGGACTGTTAGTAGTGAATGCCTCAGATCGATTTGAAGGGGTCAAAAACCTTCCAAATGAGACCATCACAGACCATCCCAAACAAGTATTTAGAGTGAAAACAACTCAGTTCTCCTGGACAGAACTGCTTATCATGAAGTGGGTATTAGGTAAGCAAAACCAAAATGTCTGTTAACATACCAGAGAAGTGCAAAATAACTGGAGATAAATGAAACATTATAGATGCCGATCAGCCAAAGGATAAAAAAAAGATGGAGCCTGATTTGGAACCCGTTGAAGCCAATAGCAAAAAGAGAATATATTTAATAGATTTCATAGATATTAGGGCTGGAAGGTCCTCGGAAGATCATCGAGTCCAGCCCCCAACCCAAAGGGCAGGAAGTCAACTGGGGTCTGGAGATAAGGGCTGTAAAGGATGTTCTGATTCAACCCCCAGAGCACTTGTTGAATGCTTTCCCTTATAAGAAAAAAAAAGATATGTTTAATAGAAAATTCCAACTTCTATACACAGTTTTCTGGGCTGCTCTGCAGCATTTAATGTGAAATTACTCATCTTCTATAACATTCAATGAGATGACTCAAAAGAAAAATAGCCCTGTAGAAAAGTTAGCAGTTACCAATAATTCTCTGGGTTGTAGAGTAATTTCTATAGAACTCTATTAGTTTGAGTCCTATCAAACTGAAGGACAGTACTGCCCTGGTGGACAGGGCATTACATCTGCACTCAGGAGTGCTATTCCTAATTCAACCTGCTGGGTTAGTCCCTCCAGGGGCATAATTAGGAATTTTGGCACCCAGGGGTGGCAGGTAATGAGGCCTGGAGACTGGGGAGTAGTTCTGGAGAGTCTTAACACCTTGCACATGGGCCGCCACCATAGTATGGGCTCCCCCAAGGGCTTCCATTCTGGTTCTCTGTTCACCCACGCCTAGTTACACTACTGAGTCCCTCCACCTCTCTGTATCTGTTTCCCCATCTCCAGGATGGAGATGATGATGCCTAGCTCTTTCTAAAGTTCTGTGCAATTTAATGATGAGAAGAGCTAGGCAGAAACTGGGAGTGATTTTTAATTTTCCTAGGAGTTTTCCAGTGGGGAAGAGCATCACAGCAGTATAAAAGAAATGACTGGTGAAGGTTTGCAATAGGATGCGTCTGAAACAAAGAAATTAGCTGAGCTCTTGATGATTGCTGATAAGCACTGATATTGGGGAACACATGGGCACAAAGTAGACAGACTAGAAGTTTTAAGGACGTTCCAAGTCCTGCAGACAAAATCTACCACATAGGTATAACTGGCAAGCCAGTTACCTTGGACCACTAATCCTAATTAGCTGTAAAGATCTCCTGAAAGCAAAATGCATCAAAGCTGCCAAATCTTTATCTGGCTTCAAAGGTCCTATTTTATTCCACACAGTCTTTCACATCAGGGCAAATAGCTCCAGAGCAGCATGTAAGTAAATGGAATTACAGCAACCTAAAAGTTGGATGATGCCTGCTATATTGAGTGACCTTTTGGTCTCCACTTCTATTTTTTTTTTCTGGCTTTCAAATAAGCAGAATCACATACAGAAAAAAAAGAATAGATGGGAAAGTTGATGGAATAATATGTGAGTTTTTTTGGGGGGGTTTTGAAGCAATATTAAAACAGTTTGGAGGAGATGATTTGGTTTTGGCCATGAGATTCTTTTTTGCAGGCTGCAGGTGGCTGGCAGCCCGAGTGAGTTCTTGAGGGAAGAAGAAGAAAGCATTAGTGTAAGGCAAATTATTTCAGGTTTCAAGAAGAAAGAAAGATGGCTCATTGTACAGGCTTCAGGGTATAATGAGATTTTCTGATTGCAACTTTGCCCTCTCAAAATCACTACTTGCTAGCCATCTGCTTCTTCTCTGGCGAGGTTACTTACCTAAAAACTCTATCACAGTGCTTCAGTAGGAATAGTAAGGTGATATACAACAAAATTACCCTCATCCTACACCTCATAATAACAAGATTATTTTTAAAAGAATAGGGCTGGGTGGAAATGAAGGCATCAAGAAGCAACCATGACTCTATTATTAAGATTTTTTTGGCTAGTACTATATGAGGGGTGTTAGTGTCGTTTGCCTGGAAATTTTTAGGACTGGACACTGTACTCTTCTGGTACTAGCTCCAGTGAGCAGGTTTTAACCCTGTTGAATGACTGTCATACAACATGCTTATACTCTATACTCCCGTTAACATTTGTGATCGGGCCCATTTTCTGAAAATTGTGGACAATTCATCTATAATGAGCCTGTGATGGCAACCTACTTTTCTAGCAGCTCCTTTTCATTGAAGCAAAGAACCTCCTCTTGTCAAGTCACAACATACAGCAAAGAAGACGACTGTGAATGAAAGCATAGGTTTCACCCAACTGAAAGGCACCACCCAACACTTCAAAATGGACTTGGCCCCAAGCCCACTGAAGAGGAGTCTCAACAGGATTTGTCTTTGGTGGGCTTTGGATCAGAAAGGCCCCATGTACCAAAGTGCACGCACACCATGACCTAAGTTATTTGGTAGACTGCATTTTATCCCTTTCTCCATTTCACTACCCTCATTTCCTGGACAACAAGTTGGGAGGAAAGAATCCAGTTTCCCCTGAAAAAGAAAGCCCAGATCACAAAAGATAACCAAACTGTCTGGCCATGCTAATATAGCTTCACTCCCACCAACTCTGCACATACAACAATTACCTTTAAAAATATTTTATTTTAGCTATCTTAATATCTGCAGCTAATGTTATGACAGGGAATAAAAACTGAAGTGGAGCTATTCATATATCAAAGGTAGTATCTCAACTGATAGCCTGAATTTTTAAGGGAACTGTTGTAATATAATAATTAGAGATAGGTGGGATTTTTCTATCCATTTTTCTCCAGTGGGATGTTGACCTTTGACTACATGAAGTTTTTTTTGTAGCTGATTTCCTGTCATTTTTTCATTTTTTTTTCAATGTCTGAAAGCAGTTTTAGTTGGTTCTCAAAATATCTGGGGTGACCTCTGAAATATTTGTGTTCACTAGTTTTCAACCATGAATTTTTTGGTGTTTCCAACATTTTACATTTTTCGTTTGAAAACATTCTTGCTATTGGCTGCCAAGTACTGAATATATATTTGGCCTTTTGTTGAGAAGTTGACATTTCCCATTGGTGACGAGGGAGAGTTTTCATTGAAATTTTTCATGGGTAGAAAACATTTTTTGACTATTTATAATGATATTATCCAAAGCTCACAGGGGCATGATATTGTACTTTTTCACTGATTTAATTTTATCTCATTAGCCATCAAATACTGCTACCCAGGCTGTGTAGATGTACCCTAGTAGAAACTGTTTTTATAATTGCCAGCCTTATTTTAACTTGATCTGAGGAACTTCCAGGTGTTCCAGTGTGTGGGGAGGCAGCTGGCAGTGCCCCCTCGATCATAGCCAAAAGTAACAGTCATCCAGCCAGCAGTTAGATGGAAATCTGAGGAATGTAAAAATGTTGTATCAAGAACTATGAAATATCGTGGATGGTTCATTTCTAAGGCTGCCCTGCCCTGTCTCCTGCCTCTTTATGTGAAACTGTTTCACAGATTTCATAGACATTAGGGCTGGAAGGCACCTTGCAAGATCATCGGATCCAGCCCTCTGCCCAAGGGGAAGGAAGTCTGATGGGGTCAAATGATCCCAGCAAGATAGGCATCCAAGTATTTTTTTAAAGTCTCCAGAGTAGGTGCTTGCACCATTTCTGGGGGGAGTCTATTCTAGGCCCTGGGGGCTCAGACAGTAAAGAAGTTTTTCCTTATGTCCGGCCTAGAATGGTCTTCCAGGAGTCTGTGACCATTAGACCTTGTCTTCCCTTGCAGTGCCCTGGTGAACAGATGTTCTCCCAGTTCCTGATGCACCCCCCTTATATACTTATAGGCTGCCACCAAGTCTCCCCAGAGCCTTCTCTTCTATAGGCTGAAGAGTCCCATGCCCCTCAGCCTCTCCTCATAGGCCTGCTCTCTTGTCCCCTGATCATGCGCATGATGGCTCTCCTCTGGACTCTCTCAAGCTTTCTAAAGTTCAGAGCTCAGAACTGGATGCAGCCACACCAAGGCCAAATAAAGCAGGAGGATGACTTCCTGGGTTTTGCTTGAGATGCATTGATAGATGTAAGCCGGGGTATCAGCTGTGGCATTGCATTGGTGGCTCATGTTCATCTTGCGGTCAGTCATGACCCCCATGTCTCTTTTGGTCATGGTGCTAGTGAGTGTAGCGTTGCAGAGCCTATAAGTATGGTGTGTGGTTTTTTCCCCTGAGGTGGAGCACCTTGTATGTCATCAGGTTTTGATTTGCCCACCTTGCAAGCCTGTCCAGGGTGGCCTATCCTCTAGTGTGACCATAAAATGCAGTCTAGCAAATAACTTAGGTCATGGTGCGCATGCACTTTGGTACATGGGGCCTTTCTGATCCAAAGTCCACCAAAGACAAATCCTGTTGAAACTCTTCTTCTCTTCCCCATAAGTATGGATAAAGAGCCCATATACAAGAACACATAAAATAAAAACACCTGCTGAAAAAGGAAAGCAAGCAGGACTGCCAAGGTGTATATTAACTTTAGTACCTAGGTATTAAATATGAGCATCTGTATGAATGGTCCCACACTATCATCTGTATTAAATTCATTCTGCAATTACTCTACCCAGAGTGAGACATGGAGGCATGCAACAGAAATAAGATTCACAGTACAATTAAGGAGGCGGATATTACTTCTCGCTGCTCTGCTTTTAACTCTTCTCCTCACATTTTTATTTTTCCCCATTCTTCCTCATTCTCTGGCAGTGAGGATGGATGCTGATGATGCATTACTGGTTCCAACTTCAGCCAATCATTTTAAGGTAATTAGTTTACCGGTCCCCTGGCCTTAAATCTTTCTGGGAAATTGGCTGATGGAGTTACCTGGCTGCCAACCAGTACAGTAATGAGGAGTCTTAAAATGTAGCATTATCCCATGATTATATGACACTGTTAATTTATTATACCATGGCCAAGAGAGACTATGGGCTGTGATATCATGACCGCAATGAAAACTTCCTGCAGATATGAAATCCACACCGTATTTTGATTCAGGCATACACATATTGAAGGCAAAATACTCTGTAGG